CAGGCAAGCCAGCACCAGGCTGACTGGCGGGTGGGGGGTGTGAGGCCGGGCGGGGCTGCCAGCTGGGCACGGTGGGGTCTGGGCTGACCTGCACGTAGTAGATGCCTTTGGACTGCGCGTACATCATGAGGAAGCAGTAGTCGAGGTTCTGTTTGGTCCGCCACCTGCGGGCCGGAGCGGGGCCTCAGGAGCTCAGACCCGCCACCTCCAGGGTGGCCACCACAGAGCGGCCGCTGAGCGGGCAGGCCGCCCCCCGCCCGCAGGGTCCTCCCCAGGAGAACCAGGGGCCCTGACCCCAGACACCGAACAGGTTCTCAGCACCCCGGCAGGCTGCTGGGGCTTGGGGGGGCTGGTACCTGACTCTCTCCTTGGGGTCCCCAAAGGACTCGCGCAGGCGGGAGAAGTCAGGGTAGAAGTGGGGGGATGGGGAGATGACCTCCAAGAGCCCGGAACGGACTTCCGTGGGAAACCTGGAACGGAAGGCCCAGCAGGAGTGTGGCCTGCAGAGGGCGGGGGGCTGCGCCAGCCAGACCCCGGCCCTCCCCGGGGCGCACGGGCAGGCCCTGCCATCCCACTGGGGCCGGGGCTTCAGCGGGGCTGTGCCACCCCGACTCACCCTCCCGCCCAGCACTCACAAGGCCTTGATGTTCTCCGTCACTGCCAAGATGTACTGCGGGTCAGTCTGCAGGGAGACCAAGCGCCCTCCTTCAGCCCGGCTGCCCCTGACGGCCTGGAGGGAGGGAGCGGGCCGGGCTTCTGCCGTCCCCACAGGGGAGAGGAGTGTGCCCCGGCTCCACCGGGGTGCTAAAGCGCCTCCTCCTCTCAACCACCGATCTGAGTCAATTCACAAGGGCACTGACAGCTGAGCTTGCGACAGCCTTCCTTTCCTCTGAGATGCTGCTGTCTTTTTTTTCGAGCCGAGCCTCACTCTGTCCCCCAGGTTGGAGTGCAGCGGCATGCTCACGGCCACCCCTGCGTCGACCTGCTGGGCTCTGCGATCCTTCTGTCGTAGCCGGAATTACAGGTGCCCGCTAGCACGCCCGGCTAATTTTTTGACTTATTGTAGAGACGCGGTCTCGCCAAGCTGCCCAGGCAGGTCTCGAGCCCGTGGGCCCGGGCAGTCCCCTCACCTCGGCCTCCCAACGTGCTGGGATGGCGCCCGCACACGACGGCGCTGTTCTGACGCTTCCTGAAGGCCGCGGCTCCCTCTGAATGCCCCGCCCACTCACCTCAGCGATCAGCACGACGATGACCGAGTCCTCCTGCTCCTGCGGGCTCAGCTCCGAGATCAGCGAGTGCAGAGTGTCGGTCAGGTAGGAATGCACCTCGCGCCGCACGCTGGGGATGCCCATCACCACGGACACTGG